GTCAACTGAAGCTCCTTCAGAAGTTGAACATAATATTACCGTAGCCAGCGAAGCACCAACGGTCACGGAGACTTCAACAGAGTTGCCGAACTCAGTTTGCGTTCATAAGATCTCGGGTACGTACGCCAATGGTTGTTCGTCGGAATTTATCGTTTGTGTTGATGGATCTGCCACCATAATGCGATGTCCTGCAACGCTGGTTTATGACGAGAAGTCACATCTGTGCCTCGAGAAGGTTAATAACGCTTCTGCAACATTTCTAAAACATTTCTGTCATGTTCGGAAGGTTCGCGTGATTTTGCCCTCAATTTCTGATAAGAATTTTCTTAAGAAGCACTGACTGACCTACTATCTGCATTGCCAACATTATTTGCTGCATTCAGACGCGACAGCCCAGCACAAAATGAGTCCAGCCATTCTTTAGAGCAACAACTTCTCATACCTGATCAATATACGCTTATTTAAGAAAGACGTGGAGGTCTGCGGTGGTCATACCACGTCATTACCTGTCACAGAGTCAACGACTGAAGTAGCGCAGGAGGAGACAACAGCCTCGTCAACCCCACAGCCAACACCATTACCTGGTGAGCATCAGCTACTTTGATTATCGCTTTTGTTGTAGCGATATCGTAAATGACGTGCGAAGTGGGATGACAGAATAACAGGTTTGATTCGTCACAATAAAATGCAATTTGTGGAGTTTTTGCGAGAGCGAGCACAGGAGTTTAACCGATTCGACTCACGATCAGTTGATTTATAGGTTCATTGATTGATTTGATCAGTTTTCAGAGTTTTCTTGCCATAGTCTTCCTGATGGGATCTACGCTCAGCATTGCTCGTCAGTGTTCATCGCTTGTTCTCATGGCCGTTCGATTCCAATGCACTGCCCTGCAGACCTCATTTTTGATCCTCACTTGAAAGTATGCCAATGGAAGGTGAACATTTTGATCGTGTGATTGGATTTTACGGTTTTGGATTCCATAACTTGGATGTAAACTAACAGAATATACTTAACATATCACGAGATATTTGATTATTTATGCGTCAACGTTAGAATTTAAGCAAAAGTGTTCGCGTTTGCAGGAC